ATTTTCATAGTGATTGTAACATTCCCAGCAAAGGTGGAAAGGTTCCTTTTCCCCTAGATCCTCACCATATGCTTGGTTTCTTGAGTATTTTTATCATGCAAAGGTATTGGAATTTTTTGGTCAGGTGTTTTTCCTTCATCTGTTGCAATGTCTGTACATTGTATCCTCTTTCCTGTCAATATGGCATAGATTATTCATTGACTTTGACCTACTAAACTTCCCTTGCATCTTGGCATAAATCCCATTTGGTATGGGGTATCACATAAGTGTACACACACACAAGCGCAAGCAGGTAATCCAAAGATACAGTAAATGCTTAAATAAAAGTAACTTCCTACAGCAAAAGATGCATTGCCCAGAATGATGGAATAAGTGTGCTCAAAGTGAGAGAGAGTATTTTGAGAGGGAATTAATGGCAATGTGACTTTTACTGTTAATGTTTTCAAGTTTTAAACATTCATTGTATTTTTTGATCACTCTCCATTGACCAAACATCCATGGCAATTTCTGTCAAATAAAAACATCACAATTTACCCTCATCCAGCTTATGGAATAAGTGTGTTCAAGGTTGGGGAGAATTTTAAGGGGGATTCATGGCAATCTGTCTTATTGTAATCATATTTTTTAATTTAAATATTCATCATATATTTTATCACCCCTTGTATATATGCATTTTAAATATAATAGTGCTTTTATATATTTATCATGCTTTTGTATACAAAGAATGCATATGGTGCTAGATTGAGTTGGCTAATAATTTTCTGAGCAGTTTTATGCCTATATCCCTGAAGATGCTACTCCACAGTTCCCTACCACTGCACATGATGCATTGATTGGGAAGTGTTCCCTCACCTTTATTTTGGAGGAGTTTATGGAAGATTGACATAATTTTTTTTTTTTTTTACCAGGGATCAAACTCAGGACCTTGCACTTGTGAGGTAGGCGTGGTGCCACTGAGCCAAACCCGCGGCCCATAAATAATTCTTTTAAGTGTTAGACTTCACCCATGAGGCCACCCCTGCCCGTGCCTTTCATTGTAAAAAGTTTAAAGTTGCTAATTCAGTCTATTTCCCTGTCAGAAGAGCATCCTTTTTGCATCCACTTTGGTGATGTGTGTCTTGCTGGGGGCCTGTCCATGTAACAATCATCTCACTGACTCATCTCTGAGTAAATATTTATCAGATCTTATTATATGCCAGGAACTGTTAGATATTGCAACTACAGGGTTTTTGGTTTTTATTTTATTTTTAATTGAGACAGGGTCTCATTCTGTACTCCAGGCTGGCCTGGAACTTGGAGTGGTCCTCCTGTCTCAGCCTCTCAAGTGCTGGGATTATAGGCCCATGCCACCATGCCTAGCTAGAAACAGGTTTTTATTTTATTTTATTTTATTTTATTTTATTTTATTTTTGAGATAGGGTCTCACTATGTATTAGGGTAGCCTTGAACTCACAGCAATCCTCCTGCTTCAGCCCCCCAAGTGCAGATGCAGGTTTTAAGACAGTGTGCTGGCTTTAAGAATTCCAAATCCTAGGGTGGAGAAGTGAAGGGAAAATAAAGAGAATTAAGATTTGATATGCATACATACCAGTTCTCCACAATGAATGTAATTATTATATTGCAAACATAAGTAATAAAAAAAGAAACTAAAGGAGGAGAGGAGGAAATATGGAGCAACCTTAAAACAAAAAGTTCCCAATCTAAGGTAGAAGACAAAATCACCATGTAGAAGGAGTGTACCAAACTGAGGTAGTTTGAAAATATTGGGAGAAAAATAATTAATCTGCAATTTAGATAGAAAAGTAATGAACTCTGCATGTAATGGCAGAAAGATGGGTGAGGACGGGGCACAGTGGACTGGGGTGGAGGGAAGACTTGGCCAGATCAGTGCATCCGCACCAAGGAGCCATCCTCAGCCTGACCTGCACACGTGACTGCCCAAGACATTTAGGGAATCGGTACTGGGAGCCCAGGCAGCCGTAGCCTACTGTAATTCTGCAATGGGTGATGCCTCCAACAGGAGGGCACCAAACACAGCTCAAGGCCTGGAACCCACCTGCCTTCTCTGCTCATCGTAATCAACCATTTCAACCCAGTTATTACACCATTCAGCAGCCAAAGCCAGAATACCTAACAGCTGCAGTGCCCTACCAAGAGCAGCAAGGGATGCATGCACACCACAAGTCTAAAATGCAGACACCCATAGCCCAGTACTCTGGGAGGCTGAGGCAAGAGGATGTCAAGTTCCAGCCCAGTTTGGGAAACTCAGCAACTTAGAGAGACTCTATCTAAAAAAAAAATTGACATGGGGATGTCGCTCAGTGTGAAAGCCTGAGTTCAATCCCTAGTACCACACACACATTCCCACAGTCAATCAGACCCTTAGAAATGAGGTTGAACCTTCATGATGGCCCAGGGCATCTTGGTGAACTGTCTCCCTTATCTCCTGCCCTGGAGTCCACATTGACTTTGAGGGGTCATAGGGACCCATGTGTGGACACAACAACTCTGAAGGCCAAGCCCTGTCCACAGATGCTGAAGGCCCAGGCAACTCCATGCACCCCTATAGGATGACGGAGAACAAAAGGCTGCTGCAAGCACTGGAAGCTGATATGGCTGTGGGGACAGGAAACACGTGCTTCTGGGCACATAAGCTGTGATCTGGAAGGGGACTGGATTCCAGGTGCACACAGCCCTTTGGTCTGTTCCCTCTTTGCCCTCATGGTGACAGGACTGCTGCACAGGCACTGGGAGGGAGGATGTCACATTTAAGGAGGAGCTGTCTGGAAGTCCTTGCACCTCCTTGCAATGTAGCAGAGAGCTTTGAAGAAGCAGCTCTGATCGCTTACTTGTTTAACGCTTCCAGTGAACTCTTGTCCAGGGGAGGTGCAAATAAGGGAACATCTGTTATTCCAGAAGGGAAATCTCAACCCATTGAATTACATCATGCTGATGGTGCCTGCAGGACTCCAGCTAAGTGAGCTGGTAGTGTATGATGTTTCATGTTTAGTAGAAGGAAAAAGTGTCCCAGCAGCTATTTCCAAGGACAGTGAAGAGTATCAGAAGGTGGTCAAGTTCAGCCGGGAGGAAGAGGCAGCCTCTCTCCTGGATGGCAGAGTGTGGACGTCCTAGGGCACTGTGGGAGGAGCACCATCTGTCAGGGAAGCCCTTTGAGCTGAAAGCACCTCACCCTTGCTTCCTGCTGGGGCTGGGACAAGCCTGCATCAGGATGAAGGATGAGATCATGAGGACAGACGGCCTGAACATCATGCTGTGCTCACCTGACCTGGAGACCCTGAGCTACATACAGATCCCACCCCAAGGCCACAGTCTCCAAGTCCACACTAGAGGGCAATGAGGATTCAAATCTTTTTCAACACTATGCACCTTAGCTGTTTGGTATCTTACCTCTCCATTGAGGGCTCCAAGATCCAAGGCCAGGGCTAGGGGTGCAGCTCAGTGGTTGGGTGCTTGTCTTACATGTGGGAGGCCTTGGGCCCAGGGTTCCATCCCCAGCACTGAAAAAATAAATTTTTCCAGACCTTTTTTTTTGCAGTACTGAGGATTGTCCCCAAGGCCTTTGGACTAAGATATAACTCCAGCCCTTTCAATTTTTTTATTTTGAGAAAGGATCTCACTGACTTACTAAATCACCCAAGGGTGACTCAAACTTGTGATCCTTCTGCTCTGCCTCCCGGAGTGCTATGCTTATAGGCACGCATCACCACACCCAGCTCAGAACAATTTTTTATGTAAATCACTGTCAACATTGCCATATGCTTTCTGTCCTTTCTCCATGCCAGTGAGTAGCCTCTGGGGACACAGCCACCTTTCAATCATTCATTTATATTTTACACCAACAAAGGAAGCTGCAAATGGATGAATTCTGTCACCAATTGTGTGAGCTTGGAAGAGGACCCTAAGCCTCAGGTGAGACCCAGCCTTAGTTGGGACAGAATCACATCTGTGACACCCTGAGCCAGGACATAGCCAGGCCCCCTCTGATTCTTGACACAGGCCACTGTAAGGTAAAAAATATGTTAAGCTGCTAAACTGCAGTGTTTTGCCACCAAACGGTGGAAATGATACAAACATGAGCCTTAGGTGCCATCATGATGGGGACCAAATCTTCACACACAGATCTCACAGGTGCACAGTGTACCTGCAACACTTGACCTCTACTTCAAGCTCCATTGCACCTATGCAGAGAAAAGGGGTGCAGCTGGAGCCCTCAGATCCAGTGCCCAGCATGGGGATGGTAAATAAAGGGCTCTACTTACTCCTTTCACCACAGATGCCATCCTGAGACTCCAGACGTAAGTGTTCCCTTCCACTCACACGCATGTGCTCTGTGACCCTCGCTCCTGCATGCTCCAGGTGGGGACTCCATGTCCGTCTCCTGTGACTCCCTGCACCAACACTGAAGTTCATTGGGAGCATCTTTGCCCAGTGATCAGCAGTGACAGTGGGCAGCCTGCATGGACCCTGGAGAAATACTGAAATTGGCGATAACCAGGGTATGTTGGTTTTCTTCCAACACAGCCTTTTGGCAAATATTGACCCACACAAGCAGCAATGATTTAATTCCACAGAAGGACTCCAAGGTCAGCAAGAGAGACAGACATGCCAGTAGAGGACCTTCTCTTAAATGAACAGACTCCAAAAAGGCATGTTACTTCCACTATCAGCCTCAGGTGGAACCTGTCCCCGCTGAACTGCAGGGCTGGGAAATCTGGGGTAGCACAGGGACCTTCCCTGAGAAATGAAAGTTTTGTGGCCCCAGGGAGAGCAGATGGCAGGCGTGTTGCTGTAGCCACATTGAGGAGAGCTGTGGGTGGGTTCCTGCAGAAGTGTAGAGGAAGAGGCGCTTTGTGGAGAGCATAGGAGAGACCGGTGCCTAAAGTACAGAGTCAGACATGCATAGGTTGTTCATGATAGTTTGTTTCCATGGTTTTGATATTTGTCTTTCCAAAATTCACCCATTGAAATCTAATTTTCAGGCGAATCACCGCGCCTTACAAGGGAAATTGAGTGCAGATGGCCAGAAGTAGGGAGATCAGCAAAGAGGCAGTGGCCAGAATCCCAACCAGAGATGGTGGCAGCTCAGCTCATCACGGAAGACTTGGAGCTGTGGACAGAAGAGCTGAGTCCAGAGTGCTTATTTGAAATGTAGGGACCCAGGCATGGTGGAGGAGGTAAGGGGGGGTCACGTGTTTTGTCTGGGGCTGTGTAGAAGGGGGAAGATGGTGAAGGTGGGAGAGATGGGTGCTGCCCAGATGAAAGGCTCCTGGGGTGACAGTGGCCCCGTGGCGACTGCAGAGCAGGCATCTGGATAAATTGACCTGAGCTTTAGAAGCACAGTCCAAAGAAATTTTACATCTCTAACCAAGTGTCGACCATCTTATGGGCAGAATGAAACGGTGGCTTTTCTTTTTTCTTCCTTAGTGTTTTTTTTTTTTTTTTTTTGGTTTTTAAGACAAGATCTCACTATGTAATTCGGACTGGCCTCATACTCATGGCAGCCCTCCTGCCTCAGCCTCCCAAGTACTGGGATCACAGTTCTGTGCCACCACACGGGGCAGCAATGGCATTTTTTCCCCATGCAATACCTCTCCATGCTGTAGTGGTGAAGGGATTGCCATCATTTGTCATTAGAGGGCAGCATACATCCATTCTCTCCTGTCAGTCTTAGAAGAGGAGTTAAAGCAAGGCTGTAAAACAGTGGAGAAGGTTAGGTCGATCAGGTGTTCAGATTCAGAATGGCAAGCAGGAGGGGTGAGAATGATCGCATCAGGGTTCTTCATTATGGGGACATTTACGCCAGGCCACCACGGAGAGGTTAGAAAGCTGGCATGTCCACAGTGAGTGAAGCTCACTGCCTGAGGGGCCCCAGCGTCTGCTTGCTGCACCTGTCTCAGTGGTAGGAACGATAGCACTGCTGCGTGAGCTCATGCACTGCAGTAGATACAAAGGGAACAGGGGCATGTGAGCCTTATCTTTGAGAAACAGCAGGGTAAGGTCACAGCGTGACCAAGGCCCCATCGCCCTTGGCACTCTGCTCACGTCCTTGCAGGTTGCTAGAGAGGACATGTGGAGGCCATGGGGGTAGATTTCCAAGGAGTCTCAGCTGCAGAGGCTGCTCAAGGGAATGAAAAACCAGATATAATACAAGCTGTGATCGAAAACCACAGTGATGGTTTAATTTGTAAGGTGTTGGTTACAGTAAAAGACACATTGCCGTGAATCCCCCTCAAAATCCTCCGCCTCACTCGAACACTTCTTCCATTGTTCCTGCCACTTTCCAAAGCAGCCCTGAAGCCCTCTTGAATAATGCAGAACAATGATAACAGTATGTCAGGGTACAATTTACTTAAAACTTGTAAGTTATTTGTTTCTGAAATATTCCACTTAGCAATTTCACACTGCAGTTGACCTGGGATCACTGAAACCTCAAAAAGTAAAACCATGGATAGAAAGGAGAGGACAGTATCTACACTACAAGAGGGCTTTGAAAAAGACATCACACTGCCATTCGAAGGGGACAGCTGTGGTGCAGGCTCAATGGGAGCAGCCTAAGCTGAGAAGCCCAGGAGCTGTGGGCCCTGGTGGGGGATATGTGTTCAGGAAGCCGCAGGCCGGAGCCTGAGCCAGGGGTTCCTTGGGTAGTGACTGATCAGGGAACCAAATGCCAAGAGAGAGCAGCAGGGAGGTCAGAAGAGCCTGGCTTCCTGGAGCAGTACAGGTTCACAGGTGAAGGTTGCTTTTAGTCTCTTTCTGGTCAGGTCACTGGGACAAAATACTTGACTCCCATAACTTACAGGAGGGGAGGTTTGTTTCGGCTCACAGCTTCAGTCCATAGTTGGACAGCTCCAAGCCAGGAAGGCATGGAAGAAGGGCCTGGCAGAGGAAAGCTGCTTGTGGCTTGGTGGACAGGAACCAGAGAGTCAAGAGAGGAGCCAGAGAGGGAGATGCACCCTGCCAGGTCACAGCTTAGCGACATCTCTTCTGAGGAGGCCCCTCCCGCAACAGCAGGTCAGCTATAAACCCCATAATCCAACCACTTTCCAACACATGGAGCACATGAGGCTTGGGGGGACATCTAGACATAAACCATGCAGAGGCTGGAGTGTCTGGTACCAGCAGGACAGGGTGGGGGCTGAGAGTATAAACAGAGGCCCTGGGCCTCATCACATTCAAGATCCTGTTTCACATAGAAAGAAGTTTCAGTAGAAGAGAGGGACCCATGCGATGGGCCTTTCAGGACACAAGGACAGGCACAGCAGAACTAGATAGCTCATAATGAAGTAGCTGGGCTACCAAGGAGGACGAGGATGGAAAGTCAATTGACCCACCCAGCTCTGGTAAAGATAAAGAGTTATGCTTGTGATAGATGTGCGTGGCTGTGTGTGTGGCCTCTGGAAGTCGCCTTAGGATTTGTATTAGTCACTTTCTCATCCCTGGGACAAAATTCCCAACCCCCACCATATGAAGGAGGATTCTTTCGGCTCATGGTTTTACAGGGTTCAGTCCGTGGACAGTTGGCTCCAAGGCAGAAACAAAGGGCAGGAGGGTGTGGTGGAAGAAAGCTGCTCTTATCACAGCGCCAAAGAAGCAGAGAGAGGAGAAGGACTTGGGGACAGGAACACACCATTCTAGGTCACCCCAGTGATCACCTCCAACTAGGCCCCGCCTCCTAACAGCACAGTCAGCCACGCACTCACCACAACGAATCCACAGATGAGCACAGCACCCCGTGATCCATCACCTTCCACACACAGGAGACTTTGGGGGACATTCAGATGTCAATCGTGACAACATTGTAACATCACCTCAGTTCATAGCCTGACCTTATCCTCAGCTTTTCTATTAAAAATTGTATCTTTTTCTGTGAAACCAGAGCAAAGACACTGATGATTCACATTAGCTAAATCCACAAGAGCCAGTTATAGAAACCAGAATGCTCACTTCCTCAGTTATGAGGGATCTTGGGGAAATGCAATGAGAACGCCCCTAAGATTTCTCTATAAACACATCCTAACATTACCCCTGGGAAGACCAGCAATGCCACATGTCAGCAAGGATGTGGATTGCCTGGCCCTCCTCTGCTGCTGGGCATGCACATTGGCACCCACTTTCTGATTGAGCAGTCTTATTCCTAGATATAAGCTGTCAGGAACATGTACACATGCCCACCAAGCCCACATCATATACTGGCCATGACACCTGTATTTATCATAGCTGAAACCAAGAGTCACCCACCTGTGAGTCATGAGTAGACTGAACAGATAAGCCAGGGTCTTTCTGTACAGTGCAGTACCACAGAGCACCTCAAAGAACCAGCAGCCACTGCCCACACCACATGGACAAATCTCAGGGTGAGAAGCAGCCACCCCCAAAAGAAGTGTGGTGCTTCCCTGTGCAGACAGGACTGGGTGCTGGGGCATCCCACATCCCGGAAATGCTCTCTGTCCCTGGTTGTGCTTAGCTCTCGCAGCCCAGCCACCCACATCTCTTAACAATGCAGGAGCTGCACATTTACAAGACCTGGGTATTTGACAGTAGGCATGGCAGGAATAAAAAATTTTGTAAAAGCAAAAGAGCTTAATTGGAAGGTAAGTAGAAGTTGAAGAAAGAAGCAAAGACTATTTGATGAGCAGGGCCTGTCTTCATTGAACACAAAATAACAGAACCTCAAAGAGGAGAACCCAGAAAGTTTCCCAGAAAGTCAGAAGTTGCTGCCTGGCAGAGTTCATTCTAATCTAGCAGGGTCTGAATGCATGCTGGGACATAGGAGGCACTCAATAAATAGGTTGCCAGTTAATGAAAATTCCTAAGCCAAAGCTGTGATGATTAAATCACTGACAGGAGCAGTGCTTTGAGACTCACGTGTCCATCTAAGCTAGTAACAGAAACGACAAAAATCACTCTCTGATAGCTTTCTTTCTCGCTCTTTTTTCCTTTTATCTACTTATTTATTTTGACGGTACAAACCAGGGGTTCCCTACCACCCAGCTACAACCCCAACCCTTTTCTCTTTAATTTTTGGTTTGAAACAGGGTCTCGCTAAATTGTGCATGCTGGATTCAAACTTGTGGCCCTCCTGCCTCAGCCTCCCTAAATGCTGCCATTATAGGTGTGCACTACTGCACCTGGCTTATTTTTTAGTTTTCTAATGTGTGTAGCCTTTGTGAAGGCATTTGAGGTTCTTATCTATGGCTCCAGTTCAACTTGTTTCCATTTTGATAAATCTGATACATTTGGGAAACCTTGTAAACTAAGTTTTAATTCAATTAGGAAATCCTGGATTCAGGCCCAAAATTGATGATACCAAAATGAACAACAGTAAACTGAAACTACTGCTGGGGAGGAAGAAAGGCCACCTTTGTCAAACTTCCCCAACTCAGTGAGGCCCACCTCGCAGGAGGGTGTGGAAACTTGGAACACAAACCCTCCCCACTTGCCAGTCTCAGTCTAAAAAAGAAAACAGTTATTTAACTCAGGACAGGTGGAAATGCAAACCGAGGTTTCCCACAGGCTGCTGCTTGGAGCAGCTTGGAGCAGTAGCTGCTCACCTGATGGCCCAGTGTCACCCGGTGGCTTGGAGACGTGGCTGCCAGACCTGACTGTCACACTGTCACTTGCAGAAGCACTGGTAGATTTCATATTTACCACACCTCTGCCTTTTCAGGCTCCAGCGATCAAGTGCTAAAACCCCGCAGTTTATGCAGATGGCCCAGGAATGTCAGGGTCATTGCCCCCTGCAGCAAGGACTCAGGGCATGGACTGTCCCTGGGAAGGACGGGGGTCTCCTGGGAAGGCTTCTGGGAGTGAGCCACCTCCAGGTCTAGGGAAAAACATTGCATGGGGAACTAGTGCTGCCTGCAGAAGAAATGGGGTGATGGGAGGGGCAAAAATGCTGCCTCTGGTATCCTGTGGTACTGCAGAGAGGAGTGGCCGGGAAGCAGGTGACCCTGCTGTGGGGCTGTTACAGGAAGACACCCGGGAGGGAAGCATGGCCAGTTGCGTGTGGTCTCCCAAGTTTTCCTTACTATTGCCGAGGCAGTTCAAGGTCTCCACACCATGTATGTGACCATACTGACATGTTTAAAGAAACGGACTCCCATTAACCAGATATACAAAGGCCAATCAGATACCAACTTCTAAATGATGGTCAGATGTGTGAATAGCAAGAAGTGATGTGAATCACATCCATCAGCAGGTTCCTTGTGCTTGTGGAAAGTTTGTATGGAAAACCAGTCACAGCCAGAGAACTAGCTCCAGAGACCAAGGTCCCGGGGTTGACATGGCTGGAGGCTACTGTTTCCCTGGGGACCTTGAGCCTGCTGGTCACACACTGTCTCCTCCTCTGCACAGCTGAGGAGATCTGGCCACTCTGGCTCCTGGATACACCTTCTGGGGATTCTTTGAGGGGCTGGCAAGATGCCCCCATGAGCCCTTTCTGCAAGATGTGAACAGGACCCAGATTTTTGCACACTTAGACCTAACCACCCCTCAGAACAATCTCGGTCATACTCAGGCTGATCCATTATGTGTTGATTTTATCTACTGAATTCTCCAGTGTGACTTGCAGGTTCTCAGAAACACTCACAGTAACAACACCCTACATATGACCCAGAATTTCCTCTTCGACGTGCCACTAGCTGTCGGGAGCTGATCAGACTCCCGAATACCTGAAAGGAGGACAACAGGGCAATAAAAGAGACAGAGACAATATTCAGTATGCAAGAGGAGACCAGGAGGAATCTGCCTCTAGTGGATGGTGGGCCCACTTTCATTTAGCCAGCAGGAAGTGCAGGGGAGGAGCTACTGTACTTTCCTAGGAACAGTGACTGCAGTAAGATTAGGGTAGTAAGATAGGGACCAAGTTTAGCATCTCAGGGGAACCAGTTAAGGCCCTTCCCCCTGCCTGGGTGCCTGCAGGTTATATTGCCCCCAGTAGATGCTATCTTGCCTCAGGAGCACTATGGCTTTCCCACACAGCCAGGAAGTCTGTGTCTTTTGCATACTTCTGTGTTCCTGAGGCAAGTTAACACCGTCCTTGGGACTTCGGGGGTCCTGTTTCTTGGCCCCCGCCAATCTATATATATCATGGCTGGTCCCCAACTACTAACTAGCTCTGTGATCTTAGCCAAATCACCTTTCAGACCAAAGGTATGGTGTCTATAAAATTTTAGCCTGTAGGATTTAGGCAAGATGGGCTCTTGGGTCCCCACCAAGTCAGTGACTTCCAGGAGAAATGAGCCTGAAGCTAGCGTGTTCCCACGGAACAGAGCTGGGGTTCACAGTGACCCCTCTCTTCCTAGACCAAGCACTCACGCCCCCTTAGCAGGGGTTGAAATCATACATGCAGGGATCCACTTCCGGTCCTACTATGGCTCATTGGGTGAGATTAGAAATCTACATCCTACAAAGCTTTGCTGCTTCCATGACAGTTACAGAAAGTGTTTCTCATCACGATCTTTAAGTTACAGACATAGGAAAACGCTTCATAGGAAGCCACAGCCACTGTGTCCTGGTTCCCGTCCCTGATGATGACGAGCTGGGTCTCAAACCAAGAGCATTCCATATTCAAATCCAGTGTGACTGGCAGGAAACTGGGCACACAAACTTGTGTCTGCTCACAGGCTGCACAACCCACTTCATCCTGTGACAGTCCCCTTTACATCAGTGCCATCCTCAGGGAGAGAAGCGTGACCCCAACACAGCAAGCCCTGGAGAAGAGTGATTCACACTTCACACGTGTCACCAGACATGGCCTGGTTCACACAAGGGAGATACATATGCTCGGGGAACAAGGCCTCACCATGCAGCCCTGGAGTCTGAGGTTTCCAGAAGGGAAGGACGCCGAGACGAACCTGATACTGGGACCCCATCCATTCTTTCTCATGAGCTGAAACTCAGCACCTGCCTTCACCACACACAGGAGGTCCTTTCCCCTGTCTGGAAGGCGCTTGCATCCTGCGCCCTGAAACCTGAGCAGCCCTGCTGCCACTGGGCTGTATTGTGTGTCCTGGGAGAGGCAGAGCCAAGGACACCAGCTCTGTTGGCTTCTCCACACCTCTTGCTGTGCAGGTCTGCCTGGAGACAGTCCCCTGGCTGGAGTGTGTCAGGGTCCATGCAGATGGGGAGGACAGCTGCCCAGTGGCGCTGCCCAGCAGCTATGTTAGAGCAAGAAGCATGAGAGTGAATGTTTTCCTGCCTCACACCCCATTAGCGCAATGAAGAACCGCTCCTCTCAATCAAGCCCTCCCTCTTCTCCTTGGAAACATGCCTAAGTTGCACATGAGGGAGGAATGGGGTTTAATCACTACATCTTGGGCCAGAGAACCCAGAGATCCATGCCCTGTTATCTTCTCCAGTTTCCTCCCATCAAAGGGAAGAGAGATCGTTGTAGCCGGTGCCCATTCACAAACGCACATAGCGAATAAAAGCTGGAATTGCAAGCTGGTGGTGGGGCCCAGGAGTAGAGCGTTGGCCTAGCGTGGGACCTTGGATTTGTTCCCCACCAACACAAAAATAAAATAAAACCCTGAATTTAAATATTTATCACAGAGAAGCCTTTTATATTGGTGCAACCACCAGCGATACAAATACCCAGCGATGTCCTTAACCCTTTACATTTCAAATGAATTTGCACTAATTTCTTTTGTGAAGCATTGTTTATGCAAGAGGGTATTATTTAATTTCCATGTGTTTGCATAGTTTCAGTGACAACCCTAGCATTCAGTTTCATGCTGCCCAAGGGGCAGGATTGTCGGAGTCAGGCCTGGCCTGGACACAGTGAGCTCGGTGTCCTGTCTGGAGCCGGGACAGAAGCAGCAGCCATGATGAGGGCTAAATGACTGCCATTCCCATGATTTCTTCTTTCTTTGAACTTTCTGCTGTCAAAATAAAAAGATCTGTCTACATTTTCAGTCATTATATTCTCAGGAAAATATTTTATTTGCACACTAATATAATTCATGTAAAGAAGAATAATGAAACCGATAACCAAGTATTATGCATAATTTTACTTTTCAGATTATCCTGACCCTATAGAGACTTGGGAGCCCATTGTCACGGCACAGGAAGTAAGTGAAACTACCTGTCTGTCATGTCATCAGCCTAAGAGCAGGATTTGAATGTGTTACATATGTTTATTGCCGATTCTTTCACTTACTCACATCATCATCATATGAGCATTTCACATGATCCTCGGGATGGGGCCATGACACTGATACTTTTGCTAGCCTATGTTTTAGATGAGAATGGGGTTTCCATGGGGACCTTTGGCTTACAGCCCACAGTGACAGCTGAGTAAGGGCTGCCCTCTGGATGTCACACTCAGTCATGCAATCCTTTTGTTAACCTGGGTGTGGTGATACACACCTGTAATCCTAGCGCACTGGGAGGCTGAGGCAGGAGGATCTCAAATCTAAGCAGTCCATGAAACTTAGCAACCTGGTAAGACCCTTTCTCAAAATAAAACATACAAAGGCCTGGAAATTTAGCTCAGTGCAAAGGCACTGGATTCGATACCCAGTACCAGAAAAAAAAAAGACAAAAGATTAATATTGTAAAGGGAAATTATCACTAATTTGAGGGCTCTGTATTGATGACAGCATATCCCTACCTATAATCCCATTTTCCCACTGTAAATCCAAATGACCACAAGAATGAACTTTCAAACAATGAAAGGGTGGATAAATGAACAAACCAAACTTGTTTCCTCAATTTGATCATTTGCAAAGGTCCCTTTAATTTTGTAAGAAAAGACACATATAAAATAAACCAATTTTTAAAAGTTCAAGATCACCACAAACCCCACTAACAGAGTAAGCATTCTTAAACATTTTTTAACTGTTTTAAATTCCTCTATATATCTGTGTGTTCACAAATAAAATCATGCCCTTCCAAGTTACAGGAGAGGCATAATGAACATAACATTAAAATAATTCAGTGAAAGAATTTTGTATGGAAAAAGGCATTTTAAATGACCACGATACCTGGGCATGATCATATTTTAATGCCAATATAATATTTCAACTATGAGTCTAATGGTGTGCACAAATTCTCTAATAGGAATTTACTGCTAAGGCCGTAATAGCACGGCTCAACCATTTCCAATCTGTACCAGTTAGAAGTTGGTTAGACATAGACATTATGTTAAATATTAGAAGTATACTGAAAAGGGGATGTTAAGCTGAAAAGGAATAGCCTGATATTCTTAGGAAATTTCCAAATAAGCATAATTGAGTGATATGAATGGTTCAAACTGCCGCACTTTAGCTATAGGCAAAAGGTCTGCAAGGCTGGAAGGCTCAGTACAAAGATGTAGGCAGCACCCTGGTAGAAGCAGCCTAAATCTTACCTTTCTCTTCTAATAGTTTCTCCTTTAACTGGGGCTGGGGGAGAATCATTTCTTATTTTTAGGAGTCTGAAGAGTTGAGTGGCATCTGCGCCGGACAGGGGGTTTGACACGCTGTTGTTAGGTGGGTGTTTGCGGCCTTTCAACTCGCTGGGTGCACACAGTGGTCAAGGGTAGGGGGGCTAAGGATCCAGGACTGCAGAGGCCTTGAGAGCAGTGCAAATTGTGTGTCGGCCACTGTGTGATGACGCCTTCCCGCAGGCCCATCGCAACGCGTGACTCCTGGAATCGCGTGCACTCGTGAGACGGATAAAACCCTTCACACCCCGGCCACCTGGGGTAGGGAGCCCAGCGCCCTATGGAGCACCTCTTGTCCCCTAAGGCAGGACAGCTCATCCCATGTCACTTCTCAGAGGACAACGACCACATGCACACCACTGGGTCCCCGACCGTCAACACCTGTCAGATGGCAACGGGCTAAGAACAAAAGACCTTTGTGGATCGCTTGGCACCATCTGTGGGGTGGAATTCTCCGCACAGCTGCCGCCCACATTTTATGTCATCCCTCCGTGGAAAGAAGGCGACATGGCATTCAGATGGGTGTTGAGCAGCGACAGAGGTCTTGCTTTTCAAGGGAGGGGGAGGCAGCCTGTCCACTGTCAGAGCCCACAGGTCAGGTAACTGGCCCAAAAGAAAGAGGAAGTTTCCTTATCCACCCAGCTCATCTGAAATTGACAGCAGCTCCCTCCTTGCCATGTGAGTGGAAGAATTGATATTTTGCATGGTGCCGTTTTATGCCATCTGTGACAGCGGATTTAAAAATCTGACACCAAGAATTTGCTGTTCAGTGATGAGCAGGACAGACATGCAGCTGTCCATTTGGCTGTTTTGTCAGAATCCAGGAAAACACTGACGTTTTACACTGGCCCGAATGGCTAATGATTGTCTATTTTCCTATATCTCAGCTGTTCCTCTCTTTGGATTTCCACATTTCAAGTCCACAGCATCAGAGAGCCAAGGAGAGAGGGCAGAGGGCACCCCCCGAAGGTGTAACATGGTGATGGTAAACCCTTCAGAGCATTCAGTGATACAAACTGCCCACTGCAGCACCTCGTGCCCTGACTAAGGAGAACCTTTAGGGAGCAAATTTTTTGATCTGTGAATTGTATTTCAGTTTAGATGGTACAGAGGGGCTACACAGCCCTTATTCAAGTGTTCGCACCTGTATCTACTTCTGCTCTCCTTTTGAAGCAAGTATATGTGTAAAATGAAGACTGTCTCTTGGCAGTGGCAGAACACTGGCTTCCCTTCCCTCTCCGAATGTAGACCTTTTGGTTATTTCACATTTTATACTTCCTATCTACAGGTTTTTCTACTTTAGTTACACTTTGTGCAGCATTTTCTATATTTGTAATTTACTTTTTATCTAGATCAGCATACATTGTCCATGACCATAAGAATCAATGTTGTTACTTGTGCTGGCATTTGCTGTTTACATCCCCTGGTATTGACAGAATTATGCCTTCGCTGAGGGCCACTTTCTGCATACCAGGCTCTGCTCCAGATGCCCCTTGAGGTACCACACTGCTGGTGCCAGGTCACCCACACCTCACCCGCCGCCCTGCACCCAGTCCCAGCCCTAAGGAGCCATCCGGCAGCTGTCACACATGCACATCCCTCCCTCTTGGGTGAGACTGCCTCTGCCTGTGTTCTCACCCGTGTGTCCCTGGGGCTGGCCCACTTCAATTCTCCCTTTCCTAAGACTGCCCTCCACCTGCAGAAACCGGTCAGTGCATTGTGCTGAATTGCAGGAGGCAGGCCCAAGGTCAGTGAGAATTATGCCCTCTCTCCTGAGCCTGGGCTGTCCCCTCGAAGCTCTGGAGTGGCTGCAGATGCTTGAAGCCTGTGTTCCATTCCATTCTGCCCAGGTTGTTGATAAAGCCGTTAGACAATATGGCCGGGCCAGCCCTGCCAAACACCTGTTCTCTAACTGTGTTATCACTGATCGCCTATAACCGTGTTCCGTGGAGAATCACCGAGCCCGTCACTGATGGTGCATTGTACCCCTGTGTCTTTTTTTTTTTTTTTTGGTACTGGGGATCGAACTCAGGACCTTGTGCTTGCCAGCCAGGTGCTGGAACCACTGAGCTAAATCCCCGGCCCCACGCCCCTGTGTCTTAATGTAGCTCTCTGGAAAAGGCTGCTTGTTCAAAGGTGTTTCATGGCTGAGATACAAGCACAGGTATAATTATAGATTAATATTTAATAGAATGTTAAATCATTTGCAGTGTAAAAGAAAAGGACTATGAGAAATGTTCATGAGTCTTGCATGTGAGAGAAAATTGGGCAACTCATTGTTGTATGAGGGAGCAGTGTTAAATAGAGCAGTCTTTCCTCGCCATGTATTAACAAGCTTATTAAGCAGATATTTGTAACATGCGCTTTATCATTAGCTTGCAGGAATGATTTAGAATTGATGGCTTTACAATAGACTCTTTTCACTTCCCCTCTGTCAGCTTTTCATATTTGATATTGCTTGCTTTCTAGCAGCTTCTAATCCAAACATTTCTGATTCATTGCCATCATTCTAGATTATAACTTCAGTCTTAGGATAAACTTAGACATAGCCAGGTGTAGCAGTGCACACCTGTCATCTGGAAGGCTGAGGCAGGAGGATCAAAAGTTCCAGCCCAGACTGTGCAACTTAGTGATTTAGTGAGGCCCTGTCTCGAAATAAAAATAAAAAATAAAAAAGGAGCTCGGTATGTAGCTCAGTACAAAGGCCCTGTGTTCAATCCCCAGTACCAAAAGCAAAACAAACAAAAACACCTAGACACAGATGGAACTCAAGGTTGAATGAAGAGAGTTAGACCTCAGAGGGAGGGCGGCCCGAACAATTTCATCCAGAGGTTTATTTTTATTTCATGGTCGGCTCCCATGATGGGTTTCCTGCTCTGGAAACTTCCACTCCTGGGCACACAGCCCAACTAATATGAAATGCCAGTCTCTTCCAGAAACACCCGCAATGACACACCGGAAATAGTGTTCACTGCTGCCCGGGCATCCCTTAGTGGGATGACCAGCAGAACCGTGAAGGACGAGGAAGAGGGAGGGAGCTAAGGATCCAGGACACGGGCACAAAGGGTCTGGGGACAGCAGCTGGCAGGTGTCCCCAGAGAGGCCTCGGCAGCCTGGCCCATGGGCGGCGGGGGCTTTCATTTGCATGGATGTGGGCCTCACCTTCTGCTGGGAAGGTCCACCTCCTCCTGAGATGGAGCAGGGCCCTCCCAGCACAGGACAGGATCGCTGAGGCAGCCAGCCTGGAGATGGAGCCCTGGAAACAGGCACAAGAATGCTGGTCTGGGCGTCACCAGTCTGAACCCCCCAGATGGAGATGGTCCTGCACATATCACTAGAGATGTACGGAGCTGGTTCTCATCTTTCCTTTAAATTCAGACATTGGATTTGGAAGCTCGCACAAATTCCCAGTATCTAACTAACACCGAGAGAATGCTCCTCCAACCAGCTGTGGTTGCACACACCCACAATCCTAGCTCTGGGAAGCTGAGGCAGAAGGATTGAAATGTTTAGTCCAGCCTGGGCAATTTAGTAACTTGGTGAGACCCTGTCTCAAAATAAAAAATAAAAGAAAGGCTGCAGATGTAGCTCAGTGCAAAGGCCCTGGGTTCAGTCCTCTCAACCGCACTCCCTGAAGGTGCCTCTTCTCTCACACAGCGTTGTCATGTGAAGCCCAAGGGTCAGGTGCCTGCCTTCTGTCTGAAGAGGCCGGAGCCAGGGCCAGTGCTGCGGCTCTTCCTGCTCTCGGTAAACAGCAGGATGGGAATGCCATGACGAATACCAGGCAGAGATCAATGGGACATCGAGGAAGCCTGAGCCTGGAGCCAGCTGAGATAAGGGATGAATGACAACTCGGAGTTCACAGGGTGTGTTGTCTGCACTGTGGTCAGGCCCTTCTTTCTCCTTCCTCCATAGACAGCTGGGCTTTCTAGAAGTGGTTTAAACTTCATTTTATAGTTAGCTGGTGTTCAGCCCTTCCTGGGGGATTGTTGTTCAGGAACATCCAAGAACATGGCAGGGACACAGAGGGGATGGGAAGGCGGCTTCTGCAGGCCCCGCCTTTCGGAATGCCTCAGTCCTGCGCTAACAGGAATGGGGTCAGGGCGGGAGGAAGAATGACCACTGCAGGGGGATGTGTGGGCTCGTGTCCCGCACGCTGAGCTTGAAAACGGGCTGCTTGGAGTACGCTTGGCTCGTGTGTTTGCTTCAGTCCACAGAGTGTGGAAGCAGCGTCACCAGCGTCTTAAGGGACGTGCGGCAAACTGCACGTATTTCAGGCGCACGCATTGGCGGATGTGAATAAGCATTCAGCCATGGGTACATCGCGGCAGTTATGACAGCCCGGCCTGGTGCCCCTCTTAATTGCTCCTTGCTCTGCTCTTCACCAACAATTCCTCCTCCACCTGCTGTATCCAGGCAACCGCTCATTCCTCTGCCACTTTAGGGCAATTTGCATTTCCTAGAGTTTTATATAAATGGAATCATCTGCTATGTGCTCTCTTTTTTGGCCTGACTTCCTTTGCTCGGTATAACTATTTTGAGATTCCTCAGTGTTGTTGCATGTACTATAAATTATTGATTCTTTCCAATTGATAAGTAAACTCCCATTGAGTTTATGTACTATAATTAGTGTTTCCGTTTATCTGCTGTGCACTCGGGTTGTTTCCGGTTTGGGACTGTCACAAATAAGACTGCTTAAAGACACTGGTCTCTAAGTCTTGGTTGGACATGATTTCATTTCTCTTGTGTGAGTAACCAGCAGTGGAGTGGCTGCCAAATGTGGGTATGTGCTTAACATTTAAGTAACTTCCAAACTGCCTTAAGTTAGCATCATTTCACAGCATCACAAAAGGGGATGAAAATTCTGGTTCCCTCATATCAGCTACACTGAGTATAGTAAGTCTAATTTCAATAGTTGTACAGTGGCATTTCACTGTGTCTTAAATTTGCATTTCTTTAGTGGCAGGTTGACATTTTGAGCATCTTTTCATTGTTTACTTTTAATCCATGTATCTTCATTTGTGAAACCCCTCCACAAATTTTTTGTCTATGTATAAATTAGGTTTTTTCTTATTAATGTGTTCTGAGATGATATATAACTTTTTCTCTTATGAATTATGGTTTTGGGGTCATACCAAGGAAATCTTTACTTAACCCAAGGTCACAAAGACTCTCTTCTGTGTTTTCTTCTCAGAGCTTTATAATCTTAGTTCTATTCGCTTTTTTGAATTAAATGATTTATATTCTTCAAATTAGAGTCAAAGTCAATCTTTTTTAGTTGGTGTACACCCTTGTTCCAGAATAACTTGTTGAAAAGTATATTGTTTCTCTGTTGAATTTTCCCTTTCATGAAAATCAGTAGTGCATATGCATGTGAACTTATTTCTGGATTGCCTGTTTTGTGACATTTATCTGTTTGTCTAGCTTTATGCTAATATGGTATCCTGCATGCAGTATGTTACCCATAAAGTCTTAATAAGTATGCTTTATCATAGATCTGTAAATAATATAATAATTAGGTTTTCAACTTTATTCTTTGTTTTCAAAGCTATCTTGACTATACCAGGCCCTTTGAAGTTTCTATATGAAGTTTCCATATGAAGTTTCCATATGAATTGTCACTTTCTACAAGAAATTCTGCTGGAATTTTTATTGTGATTCCATTAAATCTGTAGATAAATTAGGGGAAATTTGACATCTTCACAATATTAGTCTTCTGAGCCTTGAATATAGTTTCTTTCTTTCTTTCTTTTTTCCTTAACTTTTCTGAGATACATTTTATGGTTTTCAGGCAGGCACAGTGCCACTGAGCTACATCCCTGGCCCTCTTGTAGTTTTCAGTGTTCTGATCTCATACAGCTTTTGTAGATTTTACCTCTAAATATTTTATACTTTCATGCTATTTTTAAAATATTGTTTTACTAATTCATTTCCTACTATATGCTGTTATAATGTAGAAATATATTTGTGTTTATATGAATCTTCTTTCCTATGACCATGCTAAAACTGTTCTGTCAGTTCTAGTATCACTTGACATTACCCAGCACTGGGCATTCTGTTATAGATGCACAAAACAAGCTAAGATAGATATTATGAAGAGAATGTTATTTGAGAATGTAATAAGAGAGTAGAGAGCAGGGTATGGGGCCCACCAGGGCTTTCCTTCAGGGACTCCATGGGCCCCACTGGCTACCCCTGTCCACAGCCTCAGGCTTCACTGATGTTCTGAGTGACCCCTTAGCTGGAGGACTCACATTTTCCCCAGGGAAACAGTTTTTAGAGATGAGGAATTACTTGAAGCACCCAAACTTCTGGCTGGGGAAAGGCGTTTGGACGTGCAACTGCTTCTGCACTTCAGTCACTCACGAAGGAAACACACGTCCTGGTCAGTGAACACACGTGGTCAGTGCAGAGTAGCCAGTGCTGGGCTTGTGACTGCGGTCAGACCTGCCACATGGTTGCAAGGGGTCTGGGACTCTGCACCAAGCAGCGATGTCCTGCACAGACTGCCCCACCATGTTCCGTGTCTCCGATGCCCCTCTAGGCACCCAGCTCCCCGTTTAGGAACCCAGTGGGCACCGACGGAGTTGTGGAGGCGTAGGGGTGCTGGCCAGAGGAAGGGAGGCTGGGGGAGGAGGGAAGCAGGGGTATGGTGAGGAGAAGCAGACAGAACCACCCCTGTGGCGGCTGCACCCAGTCCTCAGCAGGAGGGGCAGGTCTTACTCTTCCGGTCAGAGCCGAGGCTGCTGTAGCCCTGAGCTGTCTGGGGCCAGGGGTGCAGAGACACACATGGAGCCTGCAGATGCAAGGCAGAGCTGGGCTGTGTCCT